TGGGACATTAGGCATCAACAATGCGTCTTTATTTGTGTCTGTCGATGACAGCGTGTTGTGCCTCGCCCCATGAAAACCCCATCTCTTTCGATTCCTCTGTGATGGTGTGTCTCCATGTTGTCTTTGGACGCCCATGCCTTCTTTCCCCAGGTGGTAGTACCATTTACTTGAAATTCCATAGTATTTTAACTTCACAATCTACCTTTATGCCAGACTGGATCGAAAGCCTTATAAATGTCATAGAATACCATACATAAAAGTCCCCCAAGAGCAATACTTACGTTGTGATTAATTTCAAGGAGCTGATCATCAACAGTCGAATAACCAGTCTTAAAATCAGACCACCGTAAACGGGGAATTTTCTACGAAATATGTATGCATGTGTTTGAAGATTACCCGTTCAAAACGTCACCAACTGTAGACAACAGACCAATAGGCCTATAGTTAGACGGAGATTGTATGTCAACTGTTCTTAACAGTGGTATAACTTTGGCTATTTTCCATAAGTTTAGATGAAACACCAATGGATATGGACATGTTAAACTTTATTGCAGGAGGAATACAAATGGTTTGCTTTGCGAGGTAGATATATATATATTTATTAATATGTGGTGGCCGATTTCATCCTCACTCGAGGCCTTGCTAAGCTTCAGTATCTGAAGAATGTCTCGTATTTCAGTGTTTGGTGAGTTTTGCGTTCAATGATAGGAACTGCAACATTGCTGTCAACTACACGTGTTACATTACAAAACAAAAGTCATTAAATAAGTAAGCTTTGTCCTCGTCAGTTGTAACCACATTGTCAGAAACAGGATCTACAAGGGTAGGTATAGCTGTGAAGAACCAGATGATTACATTAGCCGTTTGACAAGTCTCCAGTAAGCTTTGTGGTCAGAGAACCAATACTCCTCATTAATTCCCGTAAAATAATTTTCGGGCACACTGTTTCACGTTATTAACCTCATTACGCGGAGACTTGAACTTAATAATATATGAAAGATGTTTGGTTGACCGCACGATTGCTGGTCCTAAAATGAAGAATTGAAGACTTGATAAGGAACATTTACAGTGAGTTTCAGTAACAGTAGCAATTCATGAACAGAAGATGAAAATAAATCAGTAAATCAGTGACCAAGGTGGCTATGATTTCAGATCTGCTCCATAAGGTTTGTCTGGATCTCATAAAGAGCATCCAAGCTTTGAGCCCTGAAATGGTTCAGCCAATCAGATTCAAGGGAAGCCATTTTGTATTTCAGATCTGCCCAAAATAAAAACACTTTGTCAGGACTTCATAAGAAACATGTGTACTAAGTTTAGCAATAGCTGTTCCTGACAAGCAGTTGAAAATGTCCCAGCAAATCAGAGGCCAGGGCGGTCATTTTGGATTTCTTCATCATTATACGATCTACTTTCATCATTATATCATGTGACATTGTCATTATATGTTGTTACACATCAAGTGAATTTCTAGCTATTTGATTGGTTGGGAGAAAATTAAACAAAAATCTCTGTCTCCCTCCGAAAATACATTGGTTTTAAGGAGCGCGGGTGATATTGCCATGAGACAGTGAAAAATATCACATGCACAAAAAATGTGCGTGCACCGCTTCGTTTCCCCACCGTGATGGTCACAAGAACGTTTGACGGCAACAGCCAATTTCATCAAGCGCCGGTGCGATAGCGATTGTAAACAGCAGACTATCAACAAACAAGATGTCATTATCGAGGTTTGCTGCTGTTTCTGAGCTGCATTGACTTTTGGTGTAACAAAATAGATATAACATTCATTAGCAGGGGACAGTGAATATTGTCAACACGAGAAACCCATTGTCACCCGAGGCGAAGCCGAGGGTGACAATGGGTTTTGAGGGTTGACAATATTCACTGTCACCTGCTAATGAATGTAATATTATGATGTGACATTGTCATTATATGTGACATTGTCAGTATATGATGTGACATTGTCAGTATATGATGTTATATGAAGAGAGGAATGGAGTCACCTGCCCGACATGGGTTTTCTCCAGGTACTCTGGTTCCCACCCACATTAAAACTCCTCTTACACTAACTTCCAGGCAAACAAGAGTGGTTCATCTAAGTTATAAAGACATGTTTCATAATTGTTATATTATATATAAACAACCAGGTATCATAGTGAACTGTAGCCTTAGATAACACACATTTTGTGAGTGTCAATGGTTATCATTCACATCTATAAACCAGAAACACCTCTTATATACCTAAATGAAAAGATTAGAAAATCTGTTTATTAAAAAAAATGGAAATCATGTTCACCATTTTGTTACATCTACACTGTGTGGTTCTGGGTAGTTATAAATGTATATGATTTGACTTTAATTGAGAATTTTTTTTCCTCTAAACTTTATTGTTTCAGTAAGAAATATTTCCATTTTTTTTTATAAACAAGGGAAGTAATCCTGTATAGTTTTAAAAGAAAGGGAAGTAATTGTGTTTAGTTTAAAACAAGAGGAGGTAATTCTGTATAGAACGAAATGTTTTAAGGATCTCGGTCCGACTGCAGCCGATTTTTCATATACCCAGTAACCGCCCCTTAATTTCGTTTTTTGATATAACTAGCACACCTAGGCCAAGCTTCGTATGTTGACCAGGTAGCTCATTCGGTTAGTATAACAGTATGAAGTTCAGGGTTCAAATCCGTAAAATCAGTTTCTAGTGCATAGTTATAGTTTTTGTCAGTGGTACGGGGATCTTTAAATCAGGAGGTGGTAAGGTTTGAAAACAAAGGGAAACTTGTAAAGTTTTAAACACGAAAAGTTATCCCCTAGGGTTTGAAAATACAGGAAGCAAGGGATCACCAAGCAAAGTGCTAGGAAACAAAAGACAACTAGAAGTAGAGAGAAATCTAAATATCCAAAGATCCCTTAAGTTGCAATGGGTGCAGCAGATTTACTTTGGTCCTTTTTGTATCCCAAAGTAGAGGGCACAAATGTAAATCCCGAATTCTGTTGGGGTTCCTACAAAACATGCAGTTGGTATCTTTTCTCAACACACGACCTGTAGGGGGTGTAAAATGAGATAAAAGCTGTGTTAATAGACTGTTTTATTCATGATTTCGCGGCTTGTTTGTCAACAGCAACAGGTAATACCCATCTTTGCCAAAAAGACAACTATAAATGTGATTGTGTATAACTTACCAAGTCATTGTATAAAGGGAAACAACTCTATTTAAAATAACTGATAAATATTCTGTATTTTGTAGAGGAGTATTTAGTCAGTAGACTTGAGGACTGTTCTGTATTTTGTTGAGGACTATTTAGTCAGGAGACTTGAGGACTGTTCTGTATTCTGTTGAGTATTTAGTCAGGAGACTTGAGGACTGTGCTGTATTTTGTTGAGTATTTAGTCAGGAGACTTGAGGACTGTTGTGTATTTTGTTGAGTATTTAGTCAGGAGACTTGAGGACTGTTGTGTATTTTGTTGAGTATTTAGTCAGGAGACTTGAGGACTGTTCTGAATTTTGTTGAGTATTTAGTCAGGAGACTTGAGGACTGTGCTGTATTTTGTTGAGTATTTAGTCAGGAGACTTGAGGACTGTTCTGAATTTTGTTGAGTATTTAGTCAGGAGACTTGAGGACTGTTCTGTATTCTGTTGAGTATTTAGTCAGGAGACTTGAGGACTGTGCTGTATTTTGTTGAGTATTTAGTCAGGAGACTTGAGGACTGTTGTGTATTTTGTTGAGTATTTAGTCAGGAGACTTGAGGACTGTTCTGTATTCTGTTGAGTATTTAGTCAGGAGACTTGAGGACTGTGCTGTATTTTGTTGAGTATTTAGTCAGGAGACTTGAGGACTGTGCTGTATTTTGTTGAGTATTTAGTCAGGAGACTTGAGGACTGTGCTGTATTTTGTTGAGTATTTAGTCAGGAGACTTGAGGACTGTTGTGTATTTTGTTGAGTATTTAGTCAGGAGACTTGAGGACTGTGCTGTATTTTGTTGAGTATTTAGTCAGGAGACTTGAGGACTGTTCTGTATTTTGTTGAGTATTTAGTCAGGAGACTTGAGGACTGTGCTGTATTTTGTTGAGTATTTAGTCAGGAGACTTGAGGACTGTTGTGTATTTTGTTGAGTATTTAGTCAGGAGACTTGAGGACTGTGCTGTATTTTGTTGAGTATTTAGTCAGGAGACTTGAGGACTGTTGTGTATTTTGTTGAGTATTTAGTCAGGAGACTTGAGGACTGTGCTGTATTTTGTTGAGTATTTAGTCAGGAGACTTGAGGACTGTTCTGTATTCTGTTGAGTATTTAGTCAGTAGACTTGAGAACTGTTCTGTATTTTGTAAAGGAGTATTTAGTCAGTAGACTTTAGAACTGTTCTGTATTTTGTTGAGGAGTAATTAGTCAGTAGACTTGAGACCTGTTCTGTATTAGTCAGTAGACTTGAGACCTGATCTGTATATTTTTGAGGAGTATTTAGTCTGTAGATTTCAAAAGCTTGCCAAACAAATAATGAAACCAACACTCTGTTAAATAAACCCTCCAATTTATTGCTAACAGTTTAAAAAAAGTATGTGCATATTTCTAGGAATCAACAAATGATTAGTGTACACGAGATCATTAGAAGCAATCAGATACATTTAATGTGAATTTCTATTATTTTTCTTTGAAGACTAAATGGTTGATTAACTTAGAAGTGTCACATTGTTGTCACACCATTGTCACATTGTTGTCACACCATTGTCACATTGTTGTCACACCATTGTCACATTGTTGTCACACCATTGTCACATTGTTGTCACACCATTGTCACATTGTTGTCACACCATTGTCACATTGTTGTCACACCATTGTCACATTGTTGTCACACCATTGTCACATTGTTGTCACACCATTGTCACATTGTTGTCACACCATTGTCACATTGTTGTCACACCATTGTCACATTGTTGTCACACCATTGTCACATTGTTGTCACACCATTGTCACACCATTGTCACATCATTACCATATCAGTGTCACATTGTTGTCACACCATTGTCACACTATTGTCACATTGTTGTCACTACATTGTCACATCATTACCATATCAGTGTCACATTGTTGTCATATGAAACAGAATTACATATTTAGACACACATGTTAAAGGTTCGGTCTAAGTAGCATTTACTACAGCCAATGTCATCAAACACTACATAAATGATGTACAAAGGTCGGGATATAGAACAGCCTGGTTACAACAATCACTGTATAATCCAATGATAACCTGTATAAACAAGATAAATAGGTCTCAAAGTGTAAAATATAATTTTGTATCTGGAACCTACAATAACAAAGTGAACCCACATAACCAGAAAACCTATTTATTCACAGAATAGAAATATTGGTCCCCAGTTTGTTTGTTCTTAACAGCTTTTGTGTCGTTTTCAATGATGTTCCCAAAATTATTTAGTTTTAAGCCTGGTTTCTGTGCAGTATTGAAAGTAAAATATGAGCCTTCAGTTTAAAATTGACAAGGAGATGTTTTCTCACAAAATTGAAAAGTTTGGTTAGAATATTTTCCGATATATTATAGTTAAATGTATCCATTTGGAGTTATCGTGAATGGTATCCTAGAAAGGGGTACTACCATAACCCTGTTAGTTTAAAACAAAGAGAAGTAGACCTCAATAATTTCAAAACAATAGGAGGTTATTCTGTATAGTTTTAAAATAAAGGGAAGGAAATGTATATTTTATATCTAAAGAAAGTAATCCGGGTATTATTTAAATAAAGGGGAGTATGCGGAAAAGTTTAAAAGAAAGGGAAGTAATTCTGTATAGTTTTAAAACAAAGGGAAGTAAGTCTGTATAGTATTAAAACAAAGGGAAGTAATTCTGTATATTATTCAAAATAAAGGGTAGTAATTCTGTATAGTATTCAAAATAAAGGGAAGTAACCCTGTATATTTTTCAAAACAGAAAGGGAAGATATAAAATAGAGTCTGACTGTCTCAGAATGGGAAGAGATCCCATCAATGTAATTCATTCAGAATGGGACTAAAATAAGGATATATTTAAAAATGTGTATGTACAAATACTTTTTTAAAATCTGTATTCTAAAATTATATTTCATATTTTATGCACAGCATTTCAGATTTACAGAACAGAAAATACATATATCCATGTAAAACTACCTGTCTACTGCCTTTCTGGTTACATATCTATATCTGTCCCAATATATATACACTCCATCACTGACACGGAGAGGGCGGTGCAGACCTCCTCTCAAAACGTCCATCACATCCCACTGATTCATCTCAACACATTTCAAATATCAATGATTATTTCATGTTAAAATTTTATCTTTAATTTTCAATTATTCTCCATTATCCATAAGAAGGAAAATAATAAATTTATCAAAATGACATATGTATGTGTGGTTATATGTAAAGATAAAAGTTATCACAAAAATATATCTCAAAATATGGCATGTTCATATTAAGACAACACTTAATACAGCAATGATCATAACTTCATTGACACTAGGGCCTGGTAAGTGTACAACATCTCATTGATAGAACAAAACTCACCAAGCTAACAGGCAATAAAAAGTGACTTCATAAAGTAATGACATTTTTGTCTTCATAATCAAATAGACAATTAAAATAGTATTTCCTTTTTTTTTTAATTTGATGAACATTCTGATACCGAAAACTATCAGTACTTAACTTGTCAGTATTTCTGCTGTGAAGCATGAAATAAGACCAAATATAGATTTTACCGTTAGAATATTTCTGAGCATACATTACAACATTGTAATATTGTTACAGCCCAGTAAATTGTCAATTTTGGTGAACAGAAATTCTGTAGTCATGTTTCATCTAAGCTAAAATTGAATCCCTCCCATTGGTTTATTTACAAAGTCGGCATCAGACAGGACACTATTGATATTGCTAAAATTCATGACATAATGAACATCTTTTTGCGCAATATTAAAATATGGAGATAGTTTTACTTATGAATTGAAGGATATTTAATCTAGACACCATGCAAATCAAAATGATGTTCAGTTATATGGAGAATCTTTATCACAAACATAATCCTATGGTCCCATGTTTCTATTACACTTGTAATTTGTTTGGTTCCATGTTTCTATTACACTTGTAATTTGTTTAACATAATGTGATGAATGAATACAATGTACTTAGTCGGGGTAAGTTTCCTATGTGACATTCTACTACCCTACAATATACAACATTTCTGTCTTTTTCACTACCACACAAAAGTAGCATTGCGTTGTAATATTTACAGGAATCTGAAGCTATTTCTATCATTATTAAGACCTGATGTAAGTTTCTGAAGATAAGATTGATATTGATGTCCATCAAATAACTCCTCCATGTTGACAAGGAGACATCCAGGGGAGATAACTAGTAGGTGTGTTTGGGCACAAACAGGGATTCGCTGGCCGCTAAACTTCCATCTTCACCATTGTATTGACCCAAGGCTGCCAATCCATTCAGCTATGAAGATAAAAAAAATATAGACTGTTATCAAAATCATTGCTGATTGTATGATGATGGTGAGGATTGTATGATGATGGTGATGATTGTATGATGATGATGATAATTATATGTTGATGATGATATATATGAAATGATGATTGAAGATTTTGGATGATGATGGATTATGGCAATGATGATGATTGAATAAGTATATATGAAAGAGGATGAAGAAGATGATAAAGATAATGATGATGATGATATGTTGATGATGATAGAATGATGACAATGAAATTGATTGTGATAATGCTTAATCCATGTCCGTGTGTGTATATGTGATATATGTGAGAATGCGTGAATGTCCTGTTTATGTATATGTAATGAAAAACTTAGAAAAAGAAAACCATTACAAAAAAAAATAATAAATAAATAAATAAATCATTGCTGATTATACAGTGTAATACAGTGAAACCTGACTTAACTAACATCCTGTGATACAGTGAAACCTGACTTTACTGACACATGTAATACAGTGAAACCTGACTTTACTGACATCATGTAATACAGTGAAACCTGACTTTACTGACATCCTGTAATACAGTCAAACCTGACTTTACTGACATGCTGTACATCCTGTGATATAGTAAAACCTGACTTTTTTGTCATATCAGTTTAAGGACATTCTTTTATTCGGTGAAACCTGACTTTACTGACACCTGAATTTAATGACATTTGGTAACAAAATGAAACCTGTCTTTAGGGACATTCTGTAATATTTGACTGGTTTTACAGCTTATCATGACCTCTGTCTTTATCCCTGACTTTGCCAACACAAAATCTTACCTGACAGTAAGTCAGGTTTCACTCTACCCATTAGGACCACTGCCCATACCAACCTGTCATATTTAGTAACCTACCTTTGCTCTGTTAAGAAGTGTTTTCTGTGCACTGGCCACATTGCTTTCCTGTCCCTGCCAAGCCTTAAGAACACTTGCCTGGAGGGCACGACCAAAAGAGAAGGTGAGAGCCCATGGCTTGCGGCCCGGAAATCGATTGATGGCATTCAGGTTTTCTGTGGCACATACTTCAGACTGACCACCAGACAAAAATGTAATACCTACAAAAACACCGGATAAAAATGTGATACCTACAAAAACACTGGATAAAAATGTGATACCTACAAAAACACAGGATAAAAATGTGATACCTACAAAAACACTGAATAAAAATGTAAGACCTAAAAAAACACCAGATAAAAATGTGATACCTACAAAAACACAGGATAAAAATGTGATACCTACAAAATCACAGGATAAAAATGTAAGACCTAGAAAAACACCAGATAAAAATGTGATACCTACAAAAACACAGGATAAAAATGTGATACCTACAAAACACCTCAGTCTCAGTGTTTGAGATTCCCCTATCTCATGGGGATCAATGATTCTATTATTCTCAGTTGAGGGCTAAGATAACATAATTCCAACCGAGGTGTAAGCTATGTAGCCGAATCTTAGTCTGAGACTGAGATCTTGCTCCCTTACAGGTTATTGATTTTTTTCCCAGACCTTTAAGTTGATTTTTTTTTTTATAAGACTATAAGTATCCTATCTGGGGCCGCAAATAAAAATGGCCTCTACTATTTAAGCTACATTTGAATGCTTCCACTTAAAACTGTAGTTCTTCCTTACAAGGAAGACAATGTCAGAACATCATAAAATCTTCACATCACCAAAAGGGGAGCTAACCCTAACTGATCAAAGGGAGATAATCCGTTCATTGTAACAAGGGTAGGAGGTTTACCTGGTACAGCAGCTGGTACAGTACGACTGAGAGCTTGTACAGTCGCGCGGCCATTTTCCTCAGTTGTGTACTTCTTTGTGCAAGACTGACCGGCGGTCACCATGTTAGGTTTCAGAAGTGTCCCTTCCAGGAAGACGTGGTGGTCAGACAGAGCTTTGTAGGTAAATGCGAGAACCTGAAAAAGGTACAACCACTATACAATTCATATCCTCATTGATAATGTCACACACTAGTTCATCTGTAGCAGACACAAGCCATTTCACTTGGGCTTGCTTGACCAGCTCTGATTTCAAAAACATGGTCCAAACTTTATGTAGCCAGTTGAGAAAACCTTTGTTTTGGTGAGCATTGTAGACAGCATGAGCCATACAATTAGTGTCAGAGGTCAACCAAGGTCTTCTGATTGGGTCACATCGCAGTCAGCTGGAAATGTGAAGGGTGAGTGACAGCGAGCTCATCATCGAAGTCGTCTGATTTGGAAAGAGATTTCACGTAATATATGGCTCCCACGCTATGGATGATTCAGTAAAGACATTCCTCGTCCGCTACTGTCATGATAACTGGTAGGGTACATGTTTGTGCGTGGCAGATTCGTTTGAAACTTTTCAAGTGAACACATCTCACCTGAACTAACCTATATATATTACTATGCATTTTGTCTGACTTCTGTCAATAAAAGTATCTTACTGACCAGATCAGTTATGTGTAAATATTACATTTTTGAAATATTGACTCCCCGTACGCAAACTAGAAGTTAAACCTCAACGAAACTTAATTCTTTTACAGTAATTAGTTTAAAGTGAGTGTAGAAATTTACAAAAAGTTGATATCATTATTTGGCCTGTAACTTACCTGTTCTGTGACCTTTTGTGCAGTTTCAAGGTCATGATCTCCATCACATAGCACCTCTGGTTCAACGATCGGCACAAGTCCATTCTAGAGGAGAGATAGTCACAAAGTCATTTTATTTATTCTATTGATTACAACATACCGGGAAATACTTATCATCAAGATTTGAACTGGCCTGGTGTCAAAATTGCCAAATAATACTTTTATTAGAAAGCTTACATGTAACTGTTGAAAAACAAACTAATGCATTGTTTCCAAAACCAATTTCTAATTCTTCCTGGCATACATATTTTGTACCTGTACTTCGAAACTTTGCCTCTTAAGACAAAAAACATGGTAGACAGATTTTGGCTAAGCTGGACATTTGTATATTGTTACCTGTTGACAGATGCTGGCATAGCGGGCGAGAACATTTCCGTTTTCTAACATGGCCTGGTACGAGGGAGTGTGGCTGCTGATCTTTAGGACACATCTCCATTTGGCAAACTGGGCGCCATCTTTCTTGTACTGGGCACACCTCTCACTCAGGCCATCCAGACCTGTCATATAGGTACCAAAATAAAGGGGAATGCTCCATGTGAATGGGTTTAAAAGTAATGTTCACATAAGTATGACATCAACAACATTGATCTTGATTTACATCCAGATTAATATCATTTTTACTGAAACTTCATGGAAAACTACAGAACAATTTAAAATCCCCAGAAAAACATACAATTATGGATACAAATAACCTTTTAGATGAAATGGACTTTTCACAACAAGATTTCTTAAAATGATTAAATTCTAAAGTTTAATGTAAAATGATTCACGTATTTACAAAATTGGAGAAATGGGCAAAATTAACAGTTTGATTTCTTATCTCAAGTACAGGCTAAGAGACAAATGAAAATGTCTTTCCATCTTAACAGATTAAACCTTTTTACAATATTGGGGGCCATCTTCGTCACTTCTTAATCTCTGACTAAGAATTGATTATATACCAATAAACAGGAGATTTTAATAAGAAGGATTGGAAATGATGAAATTCTACCGGATTGTACAGCATTTTGAGTACAGTATTTGTAGGCGGGGTTGGGGGTTACCCTATGCCTGCAGAATGACCTCTGCCATCTTGATCTTACCTATGATTACAGTATTTGAAGGCGGGGTTGGGGGTTACCCTATCCCTACAGAATGACCTCTGCCATCTTGATCTTACCTATGATTAAAGTAAATATTGACATTAACAGGTCTTAATGTAACAATAAACATATACCATGTAGTAAAACTGAAGTCTGCCAAAGGGCCAACTGATGATTCCAACCGTCCCAATGCTGACATACGTAAAACTATGGTTAGTTACCCAAAGGAACGAACATTAACCAACCACCAATAATGAAAACAAAATGATTATGAATAAGGCTGTGTATAGGTGATACTTCTGCTGCGATGTCATGTTATAGACTTGTGAGACGACATGTGGTATCAGAATGTTTTGAGGTGCAGACAACAAAAATCTACAATGAAACAACACATACCTCACATACATCGATAAATGGATTATTTATTGATCCAAATCCTATCTTATTATCACAAACAGCTGCTAAATTCCGCCAATAGAGTCCTTGGTTATCAATCGTTCAAACTTTCCCACCTGACCGAACGCCAATTTGCAGGCCATGGGATTAACTAATCAACAAACCATACTGACCAAGATTTCCGGACTGTGTTTTTTGCTGATTAGTCAATCCCCGATACCAAACGGTGTCGGAAAAAATCACGTTTTTATATAGTAGTGCCTTCTGGCCCCACACCAGACATCTATCTGTCAAAATGTGTAAGTCTGGTATAAGGGCCAAAGGAAACTCAGGCTAGCCCTTGTCCCCCTCTATCCTTACCCTGTATAGTAGATTCCCCATCTGTTCCAGCCAGAGTGACCATACCCTTGTTCACATTTATCCTTACCCTGTATAGTAGATTCCCCATCTGTTCCAGCCAGAGTGACCATACCCTTGTCTCCAGCCAGAGTGACCATACCCTTGTCCACATTTATCCTTACCTTGTATAGTAGATTCTCCATCTGTTCCAGCCAGAGTGACCAGACCCTTGTCCACATTTTTCCTTACCCTGTATAGTAGATTCTCCATCGGTTCCAGCCAGAGTGACCATACCCTTGTCCACATTTATCCTTACCTTGTATAGTAGATTCTCCATCTGTTCGAGCCAGATTAACCATACCCTTGTCCACATTTATCCTTACCTTGTATAGTAGATTCTCCATCTGTTCGAGCCAGATTAACCATACCCTTGTCCACATTTATCCTTACCCTGTATAGTAGATTCTCTATCTGTTCCAGCCAGAGTGACCATACCCTTGTTCACATTTATCCTTACCCTGTATAGTAGATTCTCTATCTGTTCCAGCCAGAGTGACCATACCCTTGTCTCCAGCCAGAGTGACCATACCCTTGTCCACATTTTTCCTTCCCCTGTATAGTAGATTCTCCATCTGTTTTAGCCAGAGTGACCATACCCTTGTCCACATTTTTCCTTACCCTGTATAGTAGATTCTCCATCGGTTCCAGCCAGAGTGACCATACCCTTGTCCACATTTTTCCTTGCCCTGTATAGTAGATTCTCCATCTGTTCCATCCAGAGTGACCATACCCTTGTCCACATTTTTCCTTGCCCTGTATAGTAGATTCTCCATCTGTTCCAGCCAGCGGGACCATACCCTTGTCCACCTTTATCCTTACCCTGTTTAGTAGATTCTCCATCTGTTCCAGCCAGATTGACCATACCCTTGTCCACATTTATCCTTACCTTGTATAGTAGATTCTCCATCTGTTCGAGCCAGATTAACCATACCCTTGTCCACATTTATCCTTACCCTGTATAGCAGATTCTCCATCTGTTCCAGCCAGAGTGACCAGACCCTTGTCCACATTTTTCCTTACCCTGTATAGTAGATTCTCCATCTGTTCCATCCAGAGTGACCATACCCTTGTCCACATTTATCCTTACCCTGTATAGTAGATTCTCCATCTGTTTTAGCCAGAGTGACCATACCCTTGTCTATATTTATCCTTACCCTGTATAGTAGATTCTCCATCTGTTCCAGCCAGATTGACCATACTCTTGTCCACCTCTATCCTTACCCTGTATAGTAGATTATCCATATGTTCCAGCCAGAGTGACCATACCCTTGTCCACCTTTATCCTTACCCTGTATAGTAGATTCTCCATCTGTTCCAGCCAGAGTGACCATACCCTTGTCCACCTTTATCCTTACCCTGTATAGTAGATTCTCCATCTGTTCCAGCCAGAGTGACCATACCCTTGTCCACCTTTATCCTTACCCTGTATAGTAGATTCTCCATCTGTTCCAGCCAGAGTGACCATACCCTTGTCCACCTTTATCCTTACCCTGTATAGTAGATTCTCCATCTGTTCCAGCCAGAGTGACCATACCCTTGTCCACCTTTATCCTTACCCTGTATAGTAGATTCTCCATCTGTTCCAGCCAGAGTGACCATACCCTTGTCCACCTTTATCCTTACCCTGTATAGTAGATTCTCCATCTGTTCCAGCCAGAGTGACCATACCCTTGTCCACCTTTATCCTTACCCTGTATAGTAGATTCTCCATCTGTTCCAGCCAGAGTGACCATACCCTTGTCCACCTTTATCCTTACCCTGTATAGTAGATTCTCCATCTGTTCCAGCCAGAGTGACCATACCCTTGTCCACCTTTATCCTTACCCTGTATAGTAGATTCTCCATCTGTTCCAGCCAGAGTGACCATACCCTTGTCCACCTTTATCCTTACCCTGTATAGTAGATTCTCCATCTGTTCCAGCCAGAGTGACCATACCCTTGTCCACCTTTATCCTTACCCTGTATAGTAGATTCTCCATCTGTTCCAGCCAGAGTGACCATACCCTTGTCCACCTTTATCCTTACCCTGTATAGTAGATTCTCCATCTGTTCCAGCCAGAGTGACCATACCCTTGTCCACCTTTATCCTTACCCTGTATAGTAGATTCTCCATCTGTTCCAGCCAGAGTGACCATACCCTTGTCCACCTTTATCCTTACCCTGTATAGTAGATTCTCCATCTGTTCCAGCCAGAGTGACCATACCCTTGTCCACCTTTATCCTTACCCTGTATAGTAGATTCTCCATCTGTTCCAGCCAGAGTGACCATACCCTTGTCCACCTTTATCCTTACCCTGTATAGTAGATTCTCCATCTGTTCCAGCCAGAGTGACCATACCCTTGTCCACCTTTATCCTTACCCTGTATAGTAGATTCTCCATCTGTTCCAGCCAGAGTGACCATACCCTTGTCCACCTTTATCCTTACCCTGTATAGTAGATTCTCCATCTGTTCCAGCCAGAGTGACCATACCCTTGTCCACCTTTATCCTTACCCTGTATAGTAGATTCTCCATCTGTTCCAGCCAGAGTGACCATACCCTTGTCCACCTTTATCCTTACCCTGTATAGTAGATTCTCCATCTGTTCCAGCCAGAGTGACCATACCCTTGTCCACCTTTATCCTTACCCTGTATAGTAGATTCTCCATCTGTTCCAGCCAGAGTGACCATACCCTTGTCCACCTTTATCCTTACCCTGTATAGTAGATTCTCCATCTGTTCCAGCCAGAGTGACCATACCCTTGTCCACCTTTATCCTTACCCTGTATAGTAGATTCTCCATCTGTTCCAGCCAGAGTGACCATACCCTTGTCCACCTTTATCCTTACCCTGTATAGTAGATTCTCCATCTGTTCCAGCCAGAGTGACCATACCCTTGTCCACCTTTATCCTTACCCTGTATAGTAGATTCTCCATCTGTTCCAGCCAGAGTGACCATACCCTTGTCCACCTTTATCCTTACCCTGTATAGTAGATTCTCCATCTGTTCCAGCCAGAGTGACCATACCCTTGTCCACCTTTATCCTTACCCTGTATAGTAGATTCTCCATCTGTTCCAGCCAGAGTGACCATACCCTTGTCCACCTTTATCCTTACCCTGTATAGTAGATTCTCCATCTGTTCCAGCCAGAGTGACCATACCCTTGTCCACCTTTATCCTTACCCTGTATAGTAGATTCTCCATCTGTTCCAGCCAGAGTGACCATACCCTTGTCCACCTTTATCCTTACCCTGTATAGTAGATTCTCCATCTGTTCCAGCCAGAGTGACCATACCCTTGTCCACCTTTATCCTTACCCTGTATAGTAGATTCTCCATCTGTTCCAGCCAGAGTGACCATACCCTTGTCCACCTTTATCCTTACCCTGTATAGTAGATTCTCCATCTGTTCCAGCCAGAGTGACCATACCCTTGTCCACCTTTATCCTTACCCTGTATAGTAGATTCTCCATCTGTTCCAGCCAGAGTGACCATACCCTTGTCCACCTTTATCCTTACCCTGTATAGTAGATTCTCCATCTGTTCCAGCCAGAGTGACCATACCCTTGTCCACCTTTATCCTTACCCTGTATAGTAGATTCTCCATCTGTTCCAGCCAGAGTGACCATACCCTTGTCCACCTTTATCCTTACCCTGTATAGTAGATTCTCCATCTGTTCCAGCCAGAGTGACCATACCCTTGTCCACCTTTATCCTTACCCTGTATAGTAGATTCTCCATCTGTTCCAGCCAGAGTGACCATACCCTTGTCCACCTTTATCCTTACCCTGTATAGTAGATTCTCCATCTGTTCCAGCCAGAGTGACCATACCCTTGTCCACCTTTATCCTTACCCTGTATAGTAGATTCTCCATCTGTTCCAGCCAGAGTGACCATACCCTTGTCCACCTTTATCCTTACCCTGTATAGTAGATTCTCCATCTGTTCCAGCCAGAGTGACCATACCCTTGTCCACCTTTATCCTTACCCTGTATAGTAGATTCTCCATCTGTTCCAGCCAGAGTGACCATACCCTTGTCCACCTTTATCCTTACCCTGTATAGTAGATTCTCCATCTGTTCCAGCCAGAGTGACCATACCCTTGTCCACCTTTATCCTTACCCTGTATAGTAGATTCTCCATCTGTTCCAGCCAGAGTGACCATACCCTTGTCCACCTTTATCCTTACCCTGTATAGTAGATTCTCCATCTGTTCCAGCCAGAGTGACCATACCCTTGTCCACCTTTATCCTTACCCTGTATAGTAGATTCTCCATCTGTTCCAGCCAGAGTGACCATACCCTTGTCCACCTTTATCCTTACCCTGTATAGTAGATTCTCCATCTGTTCCAGCCAGAGTGACCATACCCTTGTCCACCTTTATCCTTACCCTGTATAGTAGATTCTCCATCTGTTCCAGCCAGAGTGACCATACCCTTGTCCACCTTTATCCTTACCCTGTATAGTAGATTCTCCATCTGTTCCAGCCAGAGTGACCATACCCTTGTCCACCTTTATCCTTACCCTGTATAGTAGATTCTCCATCTGTTCCAGCCAGAGTGACCATACCCTTGTCCACCTTTATCCTTACCCTGTATAGTAGATTCTCCATCTGTTCCAGCCAGAGTGACCATACCCTTGTCCACCTTTATCCTTACCCTGTATAGTAGATTCTCCATCTGTTCCAGCCAGAGTGACCATACCCTTGTCCACCTTTATCCTTACCCTGTATAGTAGATTCTCCATCTGTTCCAGCCAGAGTGACCATACCCTTGTCCACCTTTATCCTTACCCTGTATAGTAGATTCTCCATCTGTTCCAGCCAGAGTGACCATACCCTTGTCCACCTTTATCCTTACCCTGTATAGTAGATTCTCCATCTGTTCCAGCCAGAGTGACCATACCCTTGTCCACCTTTATCCTTACCCTGTATAGTAGATTCTCCATCTGTTCCAGCCAGAGTGACCATACCCTTGTCCACCTTTATCCTTACCCTGTATAGTAGATTCTCCATCTGTTCCAGCCAGAGTGACCATACCCTTGTCCACCTTTATCCTTACCCTGTATAGTAGATTCTCCATCTGTTCCAGCCAGAGTGACCATACCCTTGTCCACCTTTATCCTTACCCTGTATAGTAGATTCTCCATCTGTTCCAGCCAGAGTGACCATACCCTTGTCCACCTTTATCCTTACCCTGTATAGTAGATTCTCCATCTGTTCCAGCCAGAGTGACCATACCCTTGTCCACCTTTATCCTTACCCTGTATAGTAGATTCTCCATCTGTTCCAGCCAGAGTGACCATACCCTTGTCCACCTTTATCCTTACCCTGTATAGTAGATTCTCCATCTGTTCCAGCCAGAGTGACCATACCCTTGTCCACCTTTATCCTTACCCTGTATAGTAGATTCTCCATCTGTTCCAGCCAGAGTGACCATACCCTTGTCCACCTTTATCCTTACCCTGTATAGTAGATTCTCCATCTGTTCCAGCCAGAGTGACCATACCCTTGTCCACCTTTATCCTTACCCTGTATAGTAAATTCCCCATCTGTTCCAGCCAGAGTGACCATACCCTTGTCCACATTTATCCTTACCCTGTATAGTAGATTCCCCATCTGTTCCAGCCAGAGGGACCATACCCTTGTCCACCTTTATCCTTACCCTGTATAGTAGATTCTCCATCTGTTACAGCCAGAGTGACCATACCCTTGTCCACATTTATCCTTACCATGTTTAGTATATTCTCCATCTGTTCAAGCCAGAGGGACCATACCCTTGTCCACCTTTATCCCTGGAATAATGCCCATGTCTTGGAGAGTTTTCACCATGGAGGCGCCCTTTCTTGTTGTCTGGTAAAACGTTTCGTGGAATAGGATCACTCCACCATACCCTTGTCCACCTCTTTCCTTACCCTGTATAGTAGATTCTCCATCTGTTACAGCCAGAGTGACCATACCCTTGTCCACATTTATCCTTACCATGGTTAGTATATTCTCCATCTGTTCAAGCCAGAGGGACCATCCCCTTGTCCACCTTTATCCTTACCCTGTATAGTAGATTCCCCATCTGTTCCAGCCAGAGTGACCATACCCTTGTTCACCTTTATCCTTACCCTGTATAGTAGATTCTCCATCTGGTCCAGCCAGAGGGACCATACCCTTGTCCACCTCTATCCTTACCCTGTATAGTAGATTATCCATCTGTTCCAGCCAGAGTGACCATACCCTTGTCCACATTTATCCTTACCATGGTTAGTATATTCTCCATCTGTTCAAGCCAGAGGTACCATTCCCTTGTCCACATTTATCCTTTCCCTGTATAGTAGATTCTCCATCTGTTCCAGCCAGAGGGACCATACCCTTGTCCACCTTTATCCCTGGAATAATGCCCATGTCTTGGAGAGTTTTCACCATGGAGACGCCCTTGCTTGTTGTCTGGTAAAACGTTTCGTGGAATAGGATCACTCCACCAATATTGTTGGCCAGGGACTTGTCAGCGGTAAACAACAACTCACGGTAACGCCGTCTGTTGTCTTCATTGTTTTCAACATTTATTGTTGCAAATCGCTTTCCAATGGTCCCTGTGAAATAAAAGAAAATCATGAAAATCATGAAAAATCTCTTAAGGAATACGGACAAATGAGAAAGTACAACACCATCCAGTTGATCAAGGAACTTCTTACGACATATGTCAGCGGCTATGGGATTCCCTTGCCAGTCGTCACACTTACCTGTAGACTCGTCAGCGGCTAGGATTCCCTTGCCAGTCGTCACACTTACCTGTAGACTCGTCAGCGGCTAGGATTCCTTTTCCAGGAGCTACTATGGCATTGGCAATCTTCCTCAACTCATCTTCCTGAGTAGCAGACAGGTATTGTGGAAAGGAAGGCATTATGCTGATCTGTAAAAACAACTCTTTATATTAACTTTCCATTGTTAGGTTACTGTATAACGAGGGATCTTCCCATCTCATCTCTCATATCACTGCTTGTGGGTGCATTTTAATCTCTGTTAATACTTACAACGTAGTATACATGAAAACAGTAAACAAATCATCTGTAGCATAAAAATTACCAATCTTCTAGTAAACAGGTCTGTTATTTATCCATATTGGAACCATTTGAACAAGAGGCCTGTATGGCCTGTATCGCTCACCTGGATCTTTATGCCATGAACTTTAGTCCCTAGCTAGGACTAGGCTAGGGGCCAGACACAAGAGTCAATACTATATCATGACTGTGTTTGTCTCTTGATGCCATTCAAATGTTTATATGGCTATGGGGTGGGAATCTCAGCTGTTTCAAAGTTATGGCTCGGAAATCAAGTCCTTAGGGGTGGGCCCAGACCCCAGTGTTTTATCATGACTGTGTTTGTCTCTTGACGCTCTGCAATTGTATACATGATAATAGGGTGGGGATATTGATAATGTCATTACTAAACCCTATATATATATGTGTCCAGTCCTTACTAAACCCTGTGTCCCCAGTCCTTACTAAACTCTGTGTGTCCAGTCCTTACTTAACCCTGCGTGTCCAGTCCTTACTAAACCCTGTGTGTTCAGTCCTTACTAAACCCTGTGTGTCCAGTCCTTACTAAACCCTGTGTGTCCATTCCTTACTAAACTCTGTGTGTCCAGTCCTTACTTAACCCTGCGTGTCCAGTCCTTACTAAACCCTGTGTGTCCATTCCTTACTAAACTCTGTGTGTCCAGTCCTTACTTAACCCTGTGTGTCCAGTCCTTACTAAACCCCTGCATGTCCAGTCCTTACTTAACCCTGTGTGTCCAGTCCTTACTAAAGCCTGTGTGTCCAGTCCTTACTAAACCCTATGTCCCCAGTCCTTACTTAACCCTGTGTGTCCAGTCCTTACTAAACCCTGTGTCCCCAGTCCTTACTTAACCCTGTGTGTCCAGTCCTTAACCTTCTGTTTTAGAACCCATCTACAAGTTCCTTTCTGTTAATTATTAAAATTTTAAACAATCGCTGTTAACATATGTTAAAAGGTTTGGAAAAGTAAAACGACCTGTCTATTATATTTTTCTGAATTCAGATATTTGAAACAAAGATATGTATTTGTCTGGTCTCTTTACATTTTACCGGTGAATAATAAGACTTCATGGTGAAAATAAATATGTTATTTTTATGGTTAAACAGGTATGATAGGTAATATATTGATAGTACACTCCTTCCACGCCAGAGTGTTAGCTTTCCTTACTAGTAGTGGCAATGTAACTGATAAATTAAAATTAAGATTGATATTGTATCTGATTCTCCTAGCTATAGGTGTCACAGTGGCCTTGGTAAAATATATATCTTAAGTACCCAAAGACGCTGAACCATGAATTTACCTGAGTAGATACATCATGCATCATTAACTCATTTACCCCTGAGGACACATTTGAACTCTTCCAATTCAAAGGTTGGAATGGTTCATTATGAAATTTCAGGGGTCAATATACAGTCTGAATATACATACACTGTTGATTGTAAGTGTTCTGTTAGAAATCTCACCCAGATACACGTCTCAACCTCGTAGTACATATACCCATCAGTGTCAACAGGTACCCAAAGGTATAGTCAGAAATCTCACCCAGATACCCGTCTCAGCCTTGTAGTACATATACCCATCAGTGTCAACAGGTTCCCAAAGGTAATCAGAAATCTCCCCAGATACACGTCTCAGCCTTGTAGTACATATACTCATCAGTGTCAACAGATACCCAAAGGTAGTCGGAAATCTCACCCAGATACACGTCTCAGCCTTGTAGAACATATACCCATCAGTGTCAACAGGTACCCAAAAGTAGTCAGAAATCTCACCCAGATACACTTCTTGTTGATTGTAAGTGTTCTGTTAGAAATCTCACCCAGATACACGTCTCAACCTCGTAGTACATATACCCATCAGTGTCAATAGGTACCCAAAGGTATAGTCAGAAATCTCACCCAGATACCCGTCTCAGCCTTGTAGTACATATACCCATCACTGTCAACAGATACCCAAAGGTAGTCAGAAATCTCCCCCAGATACATGTCTCAGCCTTGTAGTACATATCCCCATCAGTGTCAACAGGTACCCAAAGGTAGTCAGAAATCTCACCCAGATACACTTCTCAGCCTTGTAGTACATATACCCATCAGTGTCAACAGATACCCAAAGGTAGTCAGAAATCTCACCCAGATACACGTCTCAGCCTTGTAGTACATATACCCATCAGTGTCAACAGGTTCCCAAAGGTAATCAGAAATCTCACCCAGATACACGTCTCAGCCTTGTAGTACATATACCCATCAGTGTCAACAGGTACCCAAAGGTATAGGCAGAATATACACTGTCTACTACACCAGTAGCGTGTCTGTCCCAGCAGTCTATATGGGTCAAATTTCTGACCATGAATTTTACTTGCATGCAATTCAATCATTACCACTTAAATCATAAGGTTTTAGTTCTGATACTGTCTCAAGATTCAGTAACCATTACATAGATATTACTACTCCCTGAAACATGTATCAGATTCCTCCCGAAAACTTACTTTGTGGTAATGAGACTCCTGTCCACCTGTCTGGGGCCTGATAGAGAGAAGCTAGAAGTAGGTCACACCAGGACACATTGATAAGGCTGGACTTATCATATTACATATATAGCCAGTATTTCCCTTAATGTGCCCCTCAATTATACAAGAGATAAGTCCACCATCAAAGACTTACCAGGTACTAATTACCCCTTGTGTGTCCCTCAATTACAAACTATCATTAATTGTTGGTAGCTTGGGCTTGAGAAAAATGTAAGAATGAAATAGAAAATAAGACACAAAAAAAATCTACAAATATAATCAATAAACTGTTGAATCAACTTTACTTAATATTTTATATCAATTTGTCTCAAATGTAAGCCTGACTACAAATCAATTGTCTACATCAAGCTTGCTATGCATGTCAGTGTAACCTTGACCTGTGGTATCAACATCACTATCAATGTCTATAATACATTTATTAAAAGTTTGGTCAGCTTGAAATATTCAAAAGGCAAAACCTTTTCTTATAGTTCACATGGAAGAAAAATCAATATTTCAATATACATGTATGTCAATTATTTTAACCTCTCCATATGTATTTCTTAGTAAAACTTTCCAAAGGATTGTAAATAACAACACCTGCTACACATTTTGAAAACAATAATGGGACTAACAAATATTCCTAAAATTATATTCAGCATTTGCCTGAAAAATCCTACAAAAAACTCAGGAGACCCCACCCCCTCCGACATCTCTTTTTGTATTTTATTTTAAAGTTTTTAAAGATAATTAGGAACAAAGTGTTTCTTACTTAATAAACTTTATTTTTTTTCCGGTTGAACATCCTCCAAACAGATAAGGTCACATGAGGATGAGTGACATGACACAACCCCCCCCCCCCCCCCCCCCCCCCCCCCCCCCGGGGGGGGGGGGGGGGGGGGGGGTCAAAAAGTGCTTGTAAATAATGTAAATCAGAGAGTTATGGAAATAGTGCTTACATGACTAATTATATGCAAAAATTGTTAAGGTCAGTTGATGTCAATGGTTTTGTCAATCTGCTTCATTTTGTATACAACTGGAATTTTGACTGATATTTCTTTATTACAAACAAACAGAATAAATTACAATTATTTCCATTCATCAGGACATGTACACAAGATGGTAATTTTGCATGGAGTAAAATCAATACATACACATAATGTAGTAGAAAATTACCACTTCTGGACTAAATGTATTTAACAAGTTTCATAAATATCCTCTACAAATTCTTTCACCTTGTTATAAAATCCATTAGTCATTAACTGGATACCATCCAAAAACAGATCAAATCAGAGTTCAAAGTATTACTACACCAAAAACATTCAATCAATCGACGATTCTGTGATAACATGTAATTCCTATATATTATTTGTGTTAGAGACACATATCTAAATTGTATGTAGGTGCAAACATTGGTACTTGCATAACCGTTAGGTGTTATAAGTTCTATTTCTGTACTAATTGTGCTTTTGAGCTTGATAACATGCTCATTATTTACTGGACAATCAATACACTTTTGAAGGGTTTTATTGGTACATTTTATAAGTATCATGCATTCCACAGGCAGATTAACACTTTCACCAAAAGGTAGGTCCTAGAATCTTAAGGGTCGTATTCCAATGCTGTAAGTTTCCTTAGAACTCAATAGCATGACGAAACGTCACGGATATGATTTTGTAATTTCTCCGAGTCCAAAGTCCGCTTTAAACATGTATATATACCTCATCCTCTAAAGATAATAATTGCTGGACCCATTCCTTGTTTGATGTAGACCTGTCTCGATATTTCGGTTATGTAGTGACGACTATGATATAAAAGAGATCGTGGCACTGTTCATGACTTCAACACGGAATTAGATTTAACCGTGGCTTCACTGAGGCAGAACGTGGACGCTAGTAAAAGTCAGGTAGACACTTTCATTACTTTTTTTTACAGTTTTGATTATTCTCCGAGTAGAATTTTTTACTTACTTTTGTGTGTAGATCTACTATCAAACAGTAGGACAATCAGGCTAGCGGTGAGGTGGACAGCGGTGTGTCTGGTTCGAACTTGGGTTGTCGCAGCGATCCCGGAACAACGTATGTTTACTTTCAGCTTGGGTAGACGTGTGCTGATGTGGAGGTGTGTCGGAATACAACAAGCTGATTGGTCACTTGTATGACCTTGACCCTGGCAAACCAGCTGTGGCGTGTATGATGACACGGACTTAGATAATCTAAATCCGTGGTCTTAATAACGTTTGGCCTATGACTGAAGTGCTTGAAACTGCTAAATCCTGGTGTACAATTTTTAAAACAATTATGTGTGAGACACGGATACCCCGCTCCCTGTTTGGCCGTATATATATATATACACACACTCACAGTGTAGTGGGTGCTACGAGCTTTGTTTTGCTATTTTTAGTATGTCGAAATTCACGATTTAGTTCAGTAATACGTATATTACAAGAGTAGACTTTGAGTACAATTAATTTAATCTAACTTGCAATCGGGCATCACAATTAATTTTCTCCCACAAATCATAATGTATCCTTTGGCAGAGACGTATATATGTCATAAACATGTATACAATCTACTAATGGAAACAAAAAACTGACAAAATAAAATTGCATTTATAAAAAATACAGAACAAACAATTTTTAACAAATTTCTCCCGTCGGAAGTAGGAGTCATATGTTTCCGTGTGTCTGTTTCGATTTTGTGTTCAAAGAAAGATAACTCGAATACACTAAAAAGAAATTCTCCTCAGTGACCTGCAAGATCAAAAGCTTCGTTTGGAATAAAAAAAATATCTTTGATCATCAAATTAATTATTAAACCTTTGTTTTTAATTTCACATTTTTAATTGAATTTTCAAGATGTCAAATTGAACGAATTCATGTAATAATCTGTTTTTTCTTTCTTTCTGCAGTCTTATATCGGTTTTGGTTGATGTTTAAAATTGGTGAAAATTGGAAGTTCATTGCATTACATAAGAATGTCTCCTTGGCCCTTCGGAAGTGGAAATAAATCGGCGAGGAGATGTGGCCTCATTTGCATACGACATTTTCGTACGTTTGTCACACTACAAAATAGACTGGTTCATGAATGAAATATCTCACCGTTTTTTCAGGTTTGTGTTCATTTTGAGCAAGATAAAAAGTGCATTAAGCAAAACTGCGTATTTATGCGTGTTTTTTAATCAGTGAATAATTCTTATGTTTTCCAGACGAACTTCCGGTAATATTTGTGTCTGTTTACAGACGATGGCCAAACGTCTAAAATATCCAGCAGGTCATGTTGTTACGATATATAGCTTGATAAGATGTCTGCGCGGAAACACATAACGCCTTATCGTATTCATTTAAATGGTTATGTATACCAATTTAAAACTGTCATTACGTTTAAATTTATAAAATTATGATCATGTTAAAAAATATAACTGCAATTATCTTTCAGTACATATTCCATTATTAAAATATTCAATATGTTTTATTTACTCCTTGAAAATCAATATATTATTAGCACTAGCCGTAGAAATACTTTGTCCGATGATTAAGGAGGATAACTTAATAGTTAGTGCTAGGTGATGACCACGTGCCGTTAATAGTTAGTACTAGGTGATGACCTCGTGCCGTTAATAGTTAGTACTAGCCTAGTTGATGACCACGTGCCGTTAATAGTTCGTACTAGGTGATGACCACGTGCCGTTAATAGCTAGTACTAGGTGATGACCACGTGCCGTGAATAGTTAGTACTAGCCTAGGTGATGCCCACGTGCCGTTAATAGTTAGTACTAGGTGATGACCACGTGCCGTTAATAGTTAGTACTAGATGATGACAACGTGGCCGGTTTTGTGTGTGTTTTTTTAGTTTAAACTTATTTGTTGCCAAGAGTAGACAAGGGATTAGGCACAAGTTATAACAACTTATCAACGCCTTCTCCCAATATACATTTTGAATGACATAACAATAATGACAATAATTATATACAATTGTTATTACAATTTGAACTCTTGCTGGAATTAATAAAGTTTTGCACATATCTAGAAATGTTTAAGTAAAGGTCCACAGAAAATTGTGAATGGAAGTATTTCTAAATTTAACGCAACATTCAAATTATTTAAATTTTGCACCATAATACGTCTTTTTTGAGAAAGGATAGTACAGTGGTACATGGTCAGCTCCAAGGGTTGGGGAGCCCCCTACCAGCATGGTATGCTCGACCTGCACCCCAGTAACTCAGGATTTTGTTATATTCTTATTTTCTTATAAAATATCATATATTTAACATAATCACAGATAAATTTAGAAACATATCACAGGCTTAATATCTATCATAAAAATGTTTGAAAACTTATGTTTGAAAACTTATGTTTGAAAACTTAAAATTTAAGATACATATAAAGCATACTTCAGTACACAAGCTAGCATAATAATGCACAAAAGCAGCTAGCTTCATACTATACTCAGATGTATGTCATGCTTCATGCAAACACATTTAAAACATATCTAAACAAGTAAATTCGTGGAATTTATATCCCCGCTTGCAGGACATATTGTACGTTAACATTATTGAGGTTAGGTTTAAACATGTGAGTATCGTGCTGTTTAGACAGACATATTGTATAGCTTGAAACTTGAAAAAAAAAAGCCCTATACCTCATTTAATATCCCTAAATATGCACAAATCACATCGGTTGGCAAACTTAGCACGAGTCGAATGTGCAGACGAAATTTGGTTGAAACATCTGTACAATATCTACATCAATTATCACACGAAAACCAAAGAGTGCCCGATATGGGTGGAAAGACAGAGGAACACAAACATTGTTATCAAGTTTGAAGGAATTTGGCTAATATTTGCTAGAGTTATTACCGGTAAGCAGAAACTGCAGATAAAGACGTTTTTCATTAATCAAGGGGCCATAACTCTGCCAAATGGAGTCCGATTAAAGTGGTCATCGAACTAGGCCGAGCCTTTAATGCATTTTACCCTGTGACCAAGTTTGAAGACAATCAGTTTACATTTGTTGTAGTTATTGCACAGAAACGAAACGCAGTAGATAATGACGTTTTTCATTATGCAACGGGCCATAACTCCGCCAAATGGTTATCGTACTAGGCCGAGCTCTTAATTACGGCATTTGACCATGTGACCAAGTTTGAAGAAAATCGGTTAACGTTTGTTGTGGTAATTGCACGAAAACGAAGCACAGCAGATGATGACGTTTTTCATTATGCAACGGGCCATAACTATGCCAAATGGGGTCTGATGTAGGTGGTCATCGAACTTGGCCGAGCCCTTAAGGCATTTTACCCTGTGACCAAGTTTTAAGAAAATCGGTTAACTTCGTTTTTTTTAATTAATTAATGTTTATTTCAGGAAATAGATCATAGACATCACATGTAACATGACAGTTGACATACATATTACAGTACAACATACATATATATTACTAAAAAAAATAAACAGAATATCACAGGTTTTTGGGGCAGTCCAAGGAGCAGGTGATTGGGGCATCCCCTTCCTACAAGCTCTCCGGACGCTCAAATATTAATGAACCTACATGCATAAAATTATCGTCAGTAATAAAATATTGTATTATCTTAAAATATTATATTATATATGAAACTAAAATTCATAACTGTTTTAAGATATAGGTAATTATATTTATACAATTAATACAACACAAACATTGATCAATAAACCTGAGGATAGCCCATGAAAGCTCGAAAGCTTATTTCCAATGGGGTCCATGTTATCACGGGGAAAGATTTTGGCAGGAGGGAATGAATGACAACATATTAACTTTATTGTCAGTACCTATAGTAATTCCGTAATGACTATATAACCTAAAAAACACACATATATATATGTTCAGGTTTAAATAGTTAGCCCAACTTAAAATATGTAACGTGACTTTCAAACTATTTATATTTAAAAAAAAAAATACGGTACAGATGTCGTCAGCACGTGGATTGCAGTGACACAAAGTTTGTTTTCTTAGGGTTGGGGATCCCCCTACTAGCAAAGTCTACTTGTTTTGTGCCACCGCAATCACATATAATTGTGTTATCAGCATGAATTTTGAAATTTAAAAGCGAGATGTTTCTTCACTGCTGCCTTAAATGCATATATGGATTTTATACCCTTGATTTTGTCAGGCAGACTATTCCAGTCATGGATCCCGTTAAAATAAAAAGTACAGGTATCTTTCCCTTTACATGATGGAACAACAAAATTAAAAAGACATGATCGTGTGTTATGCTGATGAACACCTGACACTTTTATGAAGTTTAGGTTTAAGTAGGATGGACATTTTCCATAAAAAATCTTGTGCACATGATTGAGTCTTAATTGTTTGACTCTATATTCTATATTTAACATATTGAGCTTTGACAGTTCAGTGGGAGTGATACTCGTTCTGGGTTCTAATTGGCTAATAAATCTGACAACTTTATTTTGTAAAACCTGTAATTTGTTCTTCATTTTCTTGTTCAATCCTGAGTACCACGTGGAGCATGCATAATCTAGGTGACACTGTATTAGTGCAGAACATAAACTTTGTCTGGTTTTTGTAGTTAGACATTTACTTTGTCTAGAATTTGTCTAGAATTTACTTTCCTCGCGATGTTTTCTACTATTTCTTCGCCAGACATACAACAATCTATATTAGCTCCAAGATATTTCACAGATTTAGTTGATTTGATGGTATGATTGTTTGCGACAATTTCAAAATGATCAATTTGATTTAAAAAAAAATTCGTTCCAAATAGCATGCTCTCTGTTTTACCTAAATGCAAAGAAAGCTTATTATCAACTAACCACTCTGCACATGATTCAAGTACAGCACCAAGTTTCGTGGAAATTATTTCTGTTGTAGTTATTGCACGGAAACGAAGCGTGACAGACAGACAACCCCAAATTAATATCCCCCGTTTTAGCGAAAGCGGGGGATAAAAAAGGGCAACTTAAATCGGACATGCAAAGCATTTAAAAATATTCACATAATTAAGACGTAACGGATTAACACATATCACATCTACAGGTTTGGCCGTTCCAGCTTCCCATACATGTCTTGAAACTGGCAACATCCACAACATTTCTTGCCTCAGCCGGAAGATCCTGCCATAGTTTCGCCGCGAGGTATGAGAAGCTGTTTCGGCCAAACCGTTCCGTCTTTACCGTAGGTACTTTTAACATGTTACCATACCTGAAAGAATAATGTTCATTGTTATTAGTTTGTACTATTTTTTTTAGATAAGGTGGACATATTCCATGGACAATCTTAAAAGTTTCAGTTGCTAGTGTCCTTAGTCTCTCCACATGTAGCATGTTTGTCTGATACTTAGTTAGGTGTCTATGATTCATTCTGAGTACGTAGAAAATATCCGAAATTCTGATATAGAGTTTGTTTAGCATGATCAACTATTTTTAGAAACTCTTTTAATGGAAATAAGAGGGAAAACTATTTCGTATTCGTCGTATAAAAAGAAACAAAACAACATCAAAGGGAGGTAAGTATCACGGAAAAATAAGGAATCTTGCAAACCATAGTGATGTAAATATAGAGGAACTACCGGCAAGGAAAAAAGAATTAGAGGATATAAGAATGCATAAGATTAAGGGAAGTATCATTCGCTCTGAGGCTAAGTGGAGTGAGGAGGGAAAAAAAACGACAAATTATTTTTTTAATCTAGAAAATAGAAATTTTACTTAAAAAAGTATTACAGTTGGCTATTGGAGAAATTATTACAAAACAAAATGATAATCTAATTGAAGTTAGTTAAGTATAGATCACGAAGTCGATGAAATAAATTTAGATGTTTTTTTTAAAATTGTGATGTTCCAATTGGATGCTTCAGAAATAGAAAGTCTGGAGGGTTTAATCATTCTTAAAGAAGCATCTGAAAAATAGCAAAAGTCCAAGATCTGACGGATTTACGTCAGATTTTTTAATGCTTTTTGGAATAATTTGGGAAACTTTGTTATTAGGTCTATCAATTATGGTATTATTACATGTTTACCTAAGGGTGATAAACCCAGACATTTTGTTAAAAATTGGCGACCTATTTCACTTCTGAACATTGTCTATAAAATTGCGTCAGGCTCTATAGCAAATAGAATGAAATCAGTTTAAACAAAATTATTAATTTGGACCAAACAGGATTTCTTTCAGGACGGTTACGGCGGGTATATAGGTGAAAATACAAGAATGATTTATGACATTATGCAATATACGGAAGAATTTGGAGATCTTAACCTTACGGGACTAAGAGATTAGTAAGAGATTTACTTATTATTTTATTGTTTAACAAAGAGGAATATACAGAAGGAACAAGATTAAGAATCCTTCTATGATTTAATCTTTGTTATATTTTTCCAATTCTCGGTTTCGCGGAAGTTTATTGATGAACTTCTTGGTTTAAAAAAAAAATGGAAGCGACTAAAGAAATTGGATAAAACTTTTTGAAAAAAATCGGATCTTAAAGTCAATATAGAAACTCAAATTATATGGAAAGGTAGTTAAAAGTATAGTGGGTGGAGTCGGGGGGATTTACTCTTCTTTGGATTGAATTTCAATATCATTTTCTGAATGGGTTGTGCTCTCCATTATATTTTTATAAGGGGTTTTCATTATTTTTGACGCTTAATGTCCTTGTTTTGATATAATTAATTTTCAAGTCTCGTTTCCTGCTTTCGTCTGCCTAAACACACGTGAGAGGATGTGTGTTATTAGAGTGAGCTCCCTTGTATTGTGACGTCATAATAAACAAAACTACACATTTGTGCCGGCAGTCTTTCCCCAGAAGCAACCAGACGTATTTGTGATCCAGCAAAAGGTAACCCTCATTTTTTTTGCTTTATGTGTGTGTTAAAAGGAACAACTTGTGTATCACTGGAAAAATAATGACTACTGAAACCATTCTTTCATTGCGATGAAGTTTATTTTGCAATCGATTATGCAGAATCGCTGGAAAATACCGTTGTTCTCAAGCAGACGATCACGATACCGGCATGCTCACTGTAGTCAGATGAAGGTCACACTATGTTGATATAAACGACCTTGGTTAAATGCGACATTCAGCATCAGACCTCCTCTATACCATGTTTTACTGTCGCTTTGGTTAAATGAACATTATAAATGTGATTATAACGAATACACAATCGCTGTTGGAACTTCCTTTTACTTGAGCATAAGCATCACGCGAGTAAAATCCCCGTCTTGACCTTGTCCTCTTCTGGCTACGTGACCTCGTCTCCGTCCTCAAAACATCCTTCTGACGGCGAGATGCGCTTTGATTTTATTGACTTTTGTTGAACATCATTTTCACATTCTTTCCATACCACATGACAACAGTAAAATTAGGATTTAAATTGCGTAATCATTTTACCACTACATACACAATACAGTAGATTAAATGCCAGTCCTAATTGTTATTCGTCTGTTCTCCTGTCATTTTCCGGGTTTTCAATACAACTAATAGTTCTAAGTCATGTGTTCCAGACGAGATTGTTGATGTTAAATGTATTTTTTTTGCAAAATTATTTTTTAATCATAATACAAACAGTAAATAGTACTGCTGATGTTTTATGAACAGTTAATGTGCAAATTAGAACTGAAATGTGCTAGGGGGCAAGTAACATACGAATCTTCCAAGTAAGCACATTTTTGCTTCAGTTTGATATATATTTGATGGTATTACTATGAACACATAGCATGATACTGCAGAGAAAGTGTTGTAACCTTGATGCTGAAGGTAACTTTGTGTACCAGAGCCTAATTAACTCTGACACATATGTGTATATATACACAAGTGAGCTGGGAAGGGGTAGGAAGTGTTGTCTGACCACATACGTCACAACACTTACCAGAACTAGTTGTTTGGTAGCTATGTTAGCGCAGACCTAGGTACAAAACTTGTGTTTTCAGTAACTACTTAGCTATATAGGTTACCTTTTAGATATTAGTGTCTAGGCCTATTATAATCCTATATTTCCAGAAGTAAATACCTAGGCTAAAGTTTTTTTGCCTTTTCTGCATGTTCTTCCATTAATTGATACAGATAGCTGCACATTATACTTATATCTATAAATAGATAATCTGTGAAGTTTTATGAGCAAGTTTTATTTACTATGAACATTGATAAATCATGTTTATATAATGACAAGTTGTACATGACTGGTTGCTAGTTAAATTGACTGGTCGCTACAGACATGCTATTCTTGTCGGTCATTATACCCCTGACTGTTCAATATAGACAGGTTTATCTTGACTGTTCAATATAGACAGGTTTATCTTGACTGTACACTTTTCTGAATTATTGCTCCAAACATTTGTTTGCTTGAATGTCCCTTAATATAATGTAGCTGAGTTTCTTTGGAGATATACATATGCTTACAGTAGAGATAAACCACACATCTGTCAAATGCCTTCATTTGATGTTGTATATTATGCAGTAAAGCTAAACATTGGCGCCATCAGCTTAAAAGTTCTAAAAGGCTCTCTGGGAATGTTGCACATATAGGCTCTCGGGGAATGTTGCACCTATAGGCTCTCAGGGAATGTTGCACCTATATGCTCTCAGGGAATGTTGCACCTATAGGCTCTCGGGTGATGTTGCACCTATAGGCTCTCAGGGAATGTTGCACCTATAGGGTCTCGGGGAATGTTGCACCTATAGGCTCTCTGGGAATGTTGCACCTATATGCTCTCAGGTAATGTTGCACCTATAGGCTCTCAGGGAATGTTGCACCTATAGGCTCTTGGGGAATATTGCACCTATAGGCTCTCAGGGAATGTTGCACCTATATGCTCTCAGGGAATGTTGCGCCTATAGGCTCTCAGGGAATGTTGTACCTATAGGCTCTCTGGGAATGTTGCACCTATAGGCTATTGGGGAATGTTGCACCTATATGCTCTCAGGGAATGTTGTACCTATAGGCTCTCGGGGAATGTTGCACCTATAGGCTCTACGGGAATATTGCACCTATAGGCTCCCGGGGAATGTTGCACCTATAGGCTTTCAGGGAATGTTGCACCTATAGGCTCTTGGGGAATATTGCACCTATAGGCTCTCAGGGAATGTTGCACCTAGATGCTCTCAGGGAATGTTGCACCTATAGGCTCTTGGGGAATATTGCACCTATAGGCTCTCAGGGAATGTTGCACCTAGATGCTCTCAGGGAATGTTGCACCTATAGGCTCTCAGGGAATGTTGTACCTATAGGCTCTCTGGGAATGTTGCACCTATAGGCTATTGGGGAATGTTGCACCTATATGCTCTCGGGGAATGTTGCACATATAGGCTCTCGGGGAATGTTGCACCTATATGCTCTCAGGGAATGATGCACCTATAGGCTCTCTGAGAATGTTGCACCTATAGGCTCTCGGGGAATGTTGCACATATATGCTCTCAGGGAATGTTGTACCTATAGGCTCTCGGGGAATGTTGCACCTGTATGCTCTCGGGGAATGTGTCACCTATATGCTCTCGGGGAATATTGCACCTATAGGATCTAGGGGAATGTTGCACCTATAGGCTCTCGGGGAATGTTGCACCTATATGCTCTCAGGGAATGTTGCACCTATAGGCTCTCGGGGAATGTTGCACATATAGGCTCTCGGGGAATGTTGCACCTATATGCTCTCAGGGAATGTTGCACCTATAGGCTCTCTGAGAATGTTGCACCTATAGGCTCTCGGGGAATGTTGCACCTATATGCTCTCAGGGAATGTTGTACCTATAGGCTCTCGGGGAATGTTGCACCTGTATGCTCTCGGGGAATGTGTCACCTATATGCTCTCGGGGAATATTGCACCTATAGGCTCTAGGGGAATGTTGCACCTATAGGCTCTCGGGGAATGTTGCACTTGCACCGCTATTTATCTTCTGAACATTTCTGTTTACGATGTTCCTAAATTAAAGGTAACCACACGTCGTTTTCAAAATTCCAAATGAGCATTTATATAGTGACATTTGAAAAGGAATTTTTCATCAAACTCTCCAATTGAATGCAAAAGGTTAATGTAAAACGGGCCTCTGCATCACAGGCTTGGTATGTCTGTAACTTGAGAAACTTGGATTGGGTAAAGGGCAATGTTTCTCAAATATCAATTGAAATAGTAAAGTGATAATACATAGTGTTTATTCTATGTCCAGTTCTCTGTAACCTATAAATGTCATTATCAGTAAATTTGTAATGTTGACGGCATGCAATCCAGATATATGAACTAATTGAGGTTTTAGCGAAAATCTCCTTTTTTTTTAAGAAAAGGAAATATTTCAGAAAATGTGTATTAGTCTAAATCGGATTTTTTTGTGTGTAAATATATGTAGTGTACAAAATCACTTGTTACTATATTGGGCTGTAAATCTTTGTTATAATTGAAGACTTAAAAAAATGAAAAAATGTGTCGCTGTGTAGCAGGGCTGGGCTGGAGGGCACTTCAAAATGGAATGACTAGAAAACGGACCGGATGTTTCCTCATGAGTCTGTGTTTGTTTCAGAGCCAAGATGCCAACCTTTCCACAGTACCTGAGTCCAGAGAAGGAGGAGGAACTCCGCAAAATTGCCAATGCCATAGTAGCTCCTGGCAAGGGAATCCTAGCTGCTGATGAGTCTACAGGTAAGTGTGTCACCTGGAAAGGAAATCCTAGCCACTGACGAGTCTACAGGTAATTGTGTCACCTGGCAAGGAAATCCTAGCCACTGACGAGTCTACAGGTAACTGTGACGCCTGGCAAGGTAATCCTAGCCACTGACGTGTACGTGTTATATCATTATTAACGCTGATACAACAGCAACATTTTGTCAATAAAAATAGCATTATGCAGTACAAAGGTTACATAATCAGTTGAGCTTAATATGTGGGGAAGGCTACCCCCTAGCAAGGAAATCCTAGCCACTGACGAGTCTACAGGTAAGTGTCACCTGGCAAGGAAATCCTAGCCACTGACCAGTCTACAGGTAAGTGTGTCACCTGGCAAGGAAATCCTAGCCACTGACGAGTCTACAGGTAACTGTGACACCTGGCTAGGAATCTTACGTCTATGTCAGCTAACAAGCTCAGAAATTTTGTAGAAACATATTGTTTTCGAAGTGTCATCCCATGTTAAGTGTCATATCCAGCTCTTTCAATAACCTTTAAAAACTGTGTAAAGATAAGTTCATTAGAAAAAAAAGATGTTAATCCCTGGGTTTGTGGTATTTGTTTAAGGTTCTGTTGGGAAGAGGTTTGCCCCCATCAACGTTGAGAACACGGAGGAGAATCGTCGCAGATACAGAGAACTGCTATTCACCACCGACAATGCCATCTCTGAGAACATCAGTGGTGTGATCATGTTTCACGAAACGTTTTACCAGAAGACAGCAGAGGGCGTCCCCTTCACAAAGGTTCTCCAGGATAAGAACATCATTCCAGGCATCAAAGTTGACAAGGGTGTTGTACCACTGATGGGCACAGACAACGAATGCACCACGCAGGGTAAGTGTACCACTGATGGGCACAGACAACGAATGCACCACACAGGGTAAGTGTACCACTGATGGGCACAGACAATGAATGCACCACACAGGGTAAGTGTACCACTGATGGGCATAGACAATGATATAGCCTGGCTAGTTGGGAACAGCCACTACTGGTATCCTAATATTTAAGTGTTCAAATCCCCTTCTCTTCTTTTTTTCTCTGTTTTTCTTTTGAAAGGCAGTAGCCTGTTTCAGCCTTTTTTCTAAAGATTTTTTTTTAATGTATTTTTTAAAAAGTTGGGAAAGTTGGTTCTTAATCTCATTGGGAATTCTGGCTCCAGACATACTGGCTCCAGACATCTAAATCTCATTGGGAATTCTGAATCCAGACATACTGACTTCAGACATACTGACTCCAGACATACTGACTCCAGACATACTGACTCCAGACATACTGACTCCAGACATCTAAATCTCATTGGAAATTCTGACTTCAGACATCTAAATCTCATGGGGAATTCTGACTCCAGACATACTGACTTCAGACATTTAAATCTCATTGGGAATTCTGACTACAGACATCTAAATCTCATTGGGAATTCTGAATCCAGACATACTGACTTCAGACATACTGACTCCAGACATACTGACTCCAGACATCTAAATCTCATTGGAAATTCTGAGTTCAGACATCTAAATCTCATTGGGAATTCTGACTCCAGACATCTAAATCTCATTGGGAATTCTGACTCCAGACATCTAAATCTCATTGGGAATTCTGACTCCAGACATTTAAATCTCATCGGAAATTCTGACTTTACAGACATTTAAATCTCATTGGAAATTCTGACTTCAGACATACTGACTCCAGACATACTGACTTCAGACAAACTGGCTCCAGACATACTGACTCCAGACATACTGACTTCAGACATACTGACTCCAGACATACTGACTTCAGACATACTGACTCCAGACATACTGACTTCAGACATACTGACTCCAGACATACTGACTTCAGACATACTGACTCCAGACATACTGACTTCAGACATACTGACTCCAGACATACTGACTTCAGACATACTGACTCCAGACATACTGACTTCAGACATACTGACTCCAGACATACTGACTTCAGACATACTGACTCCAGACATACTGACTTCAGACATACTGACTCCAGACATACTGACTTCAGACATACTGACTCCAGACATACTGACTTCAGACATACTGACTCCAGACATACTGACTTCAGACATACTGACTCCAGACATACTGACTTCAGACATACTGACTCCAGACATACTGACTTCAGACATACTGACTCCAGACATACTGACTCCAGACATACTGACTCCAGACATACTGACTCCAGACATACTGGCTTCAGACATACTGACTCCAGACATACTGACTCCAGACATACTGACTTCAGACATACTGACTTCAGACATACTGACTCCAGACATACTGACTTCAGACATACTGACTTCAGACATACTGACTCCAGACATACTGACTCCAGACATACTGACTTCAGACATACTGACTCCAGACATACTGACTCCAGACACATACTGGCTTCAGACATACTGACTCCAGACATACTGACTTCAGACATACTGACTTCAGACATACTGACTTCAGACATACTGACTCCAGACATACTGACTTCAGACAAACTGGCTCCAGACATACTGACTCCAGACATTTAAATCTCATTGGAAATTCTGACTTCAGACATACTGACTCTAGACATACTGACTCCAGACATACTGGCTCCAGACATCTAAATCTCATTGGGAATTCTGACTCCAGACATTTAAATCTCATGGAAATTCTGACTTTACAGACATCTAAATCTCATTGGAAATTCTGACTTCAGACAAACTGACTTCAGACATACTGGCTCCAGACATACTGGCTCCAGACATACCTGGGACTGGTTATCTTACTGGTTCACTTACTCAATTTGATTTTGGCTCCATTTTTTGAAAACAGTTATTTTTATTCATGCATATTGTGTACATTTGAAATGTAAATAAACTTTGATATACAGGATTGCTGGTCTTTCAAATCATATTTAGACAAAACAATCTTTGGTAAGATGAGTAAAATTCTTCTTTGAATGATTTTTTTCTAAATTCTAAAGCCCAATTCCTCAACAATATAAAACACCTCACAGTGGTAAGAATAATTTGATTATCATTGTCATAATGGCATATAGTGGAAAATACTCAGCTATTACTATTGGAGGAAAGAAACAATTTCAAACAATGGCATGCAATAGACTTGACGTGAAAATGGAACTGATAACTGGAAGATATGCTTGTACAGGCTTGGAGTGTTGCTATTTATTCTGTAACTTGTTAAATGTTTCCAATGCAACAGCTATAACCATTTTGTCTTATTACAGGCATTTCTAGGAGGGGTGGGTCCAGGTCAACTAATTGAGGGTTACATTTTCAGTTTATTATACCCAGGAATCAGGTTGTCTAGACAAAACTTGTCTGGGGTATAATATCTTCTATATTATTTCACCTGGAGTTAGCAGGTTAGGTTTGCAGAGTACAAGAACTATGTAACTGTGACCTTTGTACTGAGATAGGTGTCAGTTCTAGTTTTGATACAGGTTTGATATTTGAGAACATGGAGCATTTTCCCATATTTTGGTACCTATATTACAGGTCTGGATGGCCTGAGTGAGAGGTGTGCCCAGTACAAGAAAGATGGCGCCCAGTTTGCCAAATGGAGATGTGTCCTTAAGATCCAGAAGGAGAGCCCGTCCTACCAGGCCATGCTGGAGAATGCTAACGTCCTCGCTCGCTATGCCAGTATCTGTCAGCAGGTAAGACCACATCAAAACGTAACTGCAGGGCAAGTAAAAACTGTTTGATCATAATGTCATCTACACATTCACTATAAAATTTATCTTAGCCAGTAAACATTCATGTAAGTTACAGTTGTGTGATCGCACTACACACCAAAATGACCATGCATGCTGCTCACAAGGGGTGATTTAATAACTGATTGCCCCATTGTGTGATCAAATGTGCAGATAAGATTTTACTGCTAAATAAGATCAGCACAAAAGTAAAGCTGAAAGGTGGTAACCAACTGAAAACTTGGAAAGATAAAGGCTTAAATTTGAACCTTCCTTAATGTTAAACAACCACAATACTTACTGGACCGTAGTGTGATAGCTATGGCACAGTCGTCAGTGAGCTGTTGTCACAGTGATATGTGTGATAGTTATGGCACAGTCGTCAGTGAGCTGTTGTCACAGTGATATGTGTGATAGCTATGGCACAGTCGTCAGTGAGCTGTTGTCACAGTGATATGTGTGATAGTTATGGCACAGTCGTCAGTGAGCTGTTGTCACAGTGATATGTGTGATAGCTATGGCACAGTCGTCAGTGAGCTGTTGTCACAGTGATATGTGTGATAGTTATGGCACAGTCGTCAGCGAGCTGTTGTCACAGTGATATGTGTGATAAACTATGGCACAGTCGTCAGCAAGCTGTTGTCACAGTGATATGTGTGATAAACTATGGACAGTCATCAGCAAGCTGTCGTCAAAGAGATATGTGTGATAGCTATGGACAGTCATCAGCAAGCTGTTGTCACAGAGATATGTGTGATAAACTATGGCACAGTCATCAGCAAGCTGGTGTCACAGTGATATGTGTGATAAATTATGGACAGTCGTCAGCGAGCTGTCGTCACAGAGATATGTGTGATAGCTATGGACAGTCGTCAGCAAGCTGTTGTCACAGTGATATGTGTGATAAACTATGGACAGTCATCAGCAAGCTGTCGTCAAAGAGATATGTGTGATAGCTATGGACAGTCATCAGCAAGCTGTTGTCACAGAGATATGTGTGATAGCTATGGACAGTCATCAGCAAGCTGTTGTAACAGAGATATGTGTGATAGCTATGGACAGTCATCAATCAGCAAGCTGTTGTCACAGTGATATGCATGATAACAGTCAATAACAGTATCACCTACTGACAATAGGTTTAGGATAGGGAGGAAAACCACCATTAACAGATTTAAACCAAAAAAATATTCAAAATAAAATTGCAGCAACCATATAAAAAAAAAGAGGTGTACTTCACATTTAGAGCTGGTTTAAAGGATGACTTTATTTGTTGTCTTGTTCTTTGTATAAATCTATTATTTGCTGTTTTAAATTTCTTGCAAAGAACACATGTTGTTGTTTTATGTTTAAGTTATTAGTGTTTATGTAATTCCTGTATCTTTACAGAACGGTCTGGTTCCCATTGTGGAGCCAGAGGTCCTCCCTGACGGTGAGCATGACCTGGACACGGCAGAAAAAGCTACAGAACAGGTTTGTACCAATAGTAAAATGATCAGTTGGTTCATTTAACGTCATTTCTCTGTATATACATAAAATGTACATGTGAAGACACTAAAATCCAATTAAGAATGGATTGCACAGGGACACAATCAGGTCTGTAATTGATTACAGTAGTTTTGGGCCGTAACACGGTCAATAATGTATAAGTGGTTATTCTGGTCACGAGTAACTAGATTGTTACTGAACTTAGTTTTTGAAGAGTTTTAATCTATTAAACAGTTTTGTGATGTAATCAATTTGGAGATATTTTTTTCCTTGGCAGTAAAGTTGATGAAGTTTGATCTCATGTTGGTGACTACGTGACTAAGAATGCGTTTTCCTGTACAGGTGCTGGCATTTACCTACAAGGCATTGGCCGACCACCACGTGTTCTTGGAGGGGACACTCCTCAAACCAAACATGATTACGGCTGGGATGTCCTGCAGTAAGAGGGGAACCCCAGCAGAGAATGCTCGTGCAACAGTTCTCTGCCTCAGCAGAACGGTCCCTCCCGCAGTCGCTGGTGAGTCGAGCATACTCCATATAAGTTGTCCCATCTCAGATTTATAGATTTTTCCATTGTTAAAAACTTTATTTTTTTTAGTTATAAATGTTTTAAACTGTCAGCATTCAGTCCACAGCTATAGTTGTGTAAACCTGAACAGGACCTCAGACAATCCTGATTAGTTGTGTTATTTGATTTGCAATCCTGTTAAGAGTTAAAGTTCATATAGTATAACTCTGAACATAATTCAATTTAAGGCTAGGTTAGATACCTCTTAACCAGAATGTCAAAAGTTTATCTAACCATTCAATTTATTTTATGGTTGGAACTCAAAGAAGAAAGACATTGGTTGTTATTGGCTCGAGTGTTACTAAGAAGTGTATGTCAGTTATTTTACCTACTGTAAAAACCCGTGTAATTTGCAAACCTATGTTATTTGCACACCTATGTAATTTGCACACCTATGTAATTTGCGCAGGTACTTTTTGAGGCTGAAAATCTCCAAAAAAACTTCTACTCAAATATTTTGCGCACCAAAATTAAAAAAAAGAAAAAGATGTTCAAGTTCTGAAAATCGATCTCTGAAAATGAAAGACAAACCGCTTGGGATTCTTAGGATTTTTGTAGTTTGTTTATTATAAGTGAGTTCATAAGTATTGTTTACAGGCCGTACAATGATGTTAAGAATACGAGTAAAATGTGTATTTGGTTGTTTGTTTCCTTTGGAATATCTGATCACACATGACACTCACGTGAGCGCAAAAAGGACGCAAAATAAACGAGTTTTTCTGGTTATGTTTTCAGGTGTGACATTCCTCTCCGGTGGTCAGTCGGAGGAAGATGCGTCTACAAACCTCAATGCCATTAACACAGACTCGGGCCGCAAACCTTGGCCACTAACCTTCTCCTTCGGCCGAGCACTCCAGGCTAGTGTCCTCAAGATCTGGCAGGGCAAGGAGGAAAATGTAGCCGCAGCACAGAAGCAGCTCCTTTTGAGGGCAAAGGTCAGTATCTGGGATGAGGGTCACGGCAGGTCAAATATCAAATTTCAAAACTTATAATAATGATTTTTGAATTTTTTGTGAAACATTTTATCTATAGAGAGAGTGTTGTAGTCACTATACTACCTGCTAATTTATCAATGTTCACTTGGAAAATTGAGGAAATAACTGCTGACGTTGTTGAAGTATGAAACAAGCTGTAAATTTAATCCCAAGATTTATCATACCACAAAAATATCAATGGCTAGATCTGTTTTGAATTAATAATGAATTAACTTGTATATATGGAATGTAAGGGAGTAATCCCACACCCAATTTAGCTTTAGTTTATTTAATGAAGGTCTTAGTATCAGTTATCAAATCTGCAGGTGGGTTTAATATCAATAATTAAATCTGAAGTTTAGTTTGAAAATGGATAAAAAAAAAAATCAATGATATTGAGTGTGCATATGTAGGCTGGTAGGGTGGCTCTGTACTTAGGTATTCAACTGTATTCAGAGGTATACTCCTATAATGGTACACAGGATTGCAGACAAATACGATAACCCTTGTTAGCGTGTTATAAATATCTGTCTCCACTCCTGTACGAAACAGCAGGAATATTACTCTGAACAGAACACAGATTAATACCTAAATCTTTTTCATTGATTTTAAAAATTAAATGATATTTATATCATATCTGTTTTTCAAATTTGAGGTAGGTTTTCAATAAATGGAACAGTCAGTATCAGCCAGTTTTCTCTATTGCTATGGCTGCAATGCCACATTTAAATAATCTCTTTGGTCTGGGTACTCTGGGACCCTTTATTTATATTGACCAACCAATGATGAATATATATATATATTGTCTACCAGGCCTTTTCACAGCTGGGCCTCAATTCCTCCCCGAGTGTTTACCAGGCATGACCACCATTTTCTCATGCTTACCGAGTCAGTGTTATTACTGCAATATTCAAAACCAGCAGGGTTCAGAGTGGGCCTCCCATTAAGCAGCAGGGTTCAGAGTGGGCCTCCCATTAAGCAGCAGGGTTCAGAGTGGGCCTCCCATTAAGCAGCAGGGTTCAGAGTGGGCCTCCCATTAAGCAGCAGGGTTCAGAGTGGGCCTCCCATTAAGCAGCAGGGTTCAGAGTGGGCCTCCCATTAAGCAGCAGGGTTCAGAGTGGGCCTCCCATTAAGCAGCAGGGTTCAGAGTGGGCCTCCCATTAAGCAGCAGGGTTCAGAGTGGGCCTCCCATTAAGCAGCAGGGTTCAGAGTGGGCCTCCCATTAAGCAGCAGGGTTCAGAGTGGGCCTCCCATTAAGCAGCAGGGTTCAGAGTGGGCCTCCCATTAAGCAGCAGGGTTCAGAGTGGGCCTCCCATTAAGCAGCAGGGTTCAGAGTGGGCCTCCCATTAAGCAGCAGGGTTCAGAGTGGGCCTCCCATTAACTCTTTCCGTACCGCAACTCCGGTCTGGATTCCGTACCGGATGTACTTATTAGACTCGCCCCCGCGCATATAACAAAATGGCAGATTATCAATGTACTTTTTAGACTAGGTGTAACTGCCGCAAGAATTAAACAGGTAACTGTGAACAAATATTGTTATTGTTTCATGTTCTGGTTCATAGACAAACACTTCATCATTTTCGCAGCATAATGACTTACTGGCAGCTGATTATGACTGAGAAATCGACATTTGTCTGGCAATAAACGATACGATTCCTTGTATTTAACACAGCGTTGTAGTGCAGGTTTCCAATGGGGATTGATTATAGTTAAGAATGTGGAGTTGTTGATTTTTTTTCTAAATACAAGTAGATTTCATCAAGACTTATATTAGAATATTCAAATTTACTTCCATAAGTCTCAACAAATATCTGATGATGAATTTACGAGTGTTCGTATCAAATTAAGTTGCCACCATCTTGTTTACATTTGAGGCACCAAACGCAAACATCTTGTGGCAAATGCGAAAACATTAAGTCACAAAATAATAAAGTGTACTCTGCACAAATAAAATTATTTCTTCCAACTTGATGGGTTCTGATTTTAGCGACAATTAGTTGTTTTTTCGCGACAGTCTCGTGCGATAACCAACTAAACATCAGGCAGGTTACATCCAAGTATCTTGTCGTGTGTACACGACAACGGGGATGAGACGGCCCTTTATTTTGTCGTCTGTACATGACAACGGGGACCAGGATGACATATTGTTGTCGTGTGTACACGACAACGGTACGGAAAGAGTTAAGCAGAAAGTCCATGCAGACCATTTTTTGCACATGAAACTAAAATGTACCTCTGTTAATTTCAATGCATTAAAAGCTCTTTTGTAAAAATCTCCTGTAAGAATGAATGCACCCTTGGCTCTGTGGTTAATCTATAAATAGCAACAGTGACCTTGGCATTGACCTTTGCAACCTGAAACACAAACTTATCCAAGGTATTCTCATATCTGACGTTTGTGTAAACTTTGATGAAAATCTGTTAAGAAATGAAGTCAGTAGAGTCAGGACAATGAATCATGACGAGAGGGTCATGGGTAACACGCATTGGTAAGAACACACTTGCTTATATTATAGGTGCCTCTTCCAGTACAGCCGATTTTGGAGAACATTTAAATACTGGTAATGTGTAACCAATATAGGTAATTTGTGATCATTGATAAGTGTATGTTTACAATTGTAGGCCAATGGTCTGGCAGCCGTGGGCAAGTACCAGGGAGACATGGCAAGTGCAGCAGCGGCCGATTCTCTGTTTGTGGCACAGCACGCGTACTAGACACAGAACCAACCCAGCTTACCTCCCCTTATCATGTACGCATGGTGTAGCCCTACAATACTAGAGACAGTTTTTCACATGTAATGCATTTATATTTTAACGAACAATATTGCTGAACACATGCGGGTGCAGTGCGTGTTGATGAAGAGATTAAGTACGTTTTAACGTACAATAATGTGATAGGTATTATACCGTATTTTTAGGCATTTTTTTAAGATACTTCGGAATCTCAGCTGTAGGCATAATATGTAGTTCACCACATGGTAATGATTCGTGCAGATTTTAATTGTTTTCGTCACTTATGTATTGTTGATGTCAGCATTTGTTAAACTTTATTTATTTGCTTAATAGAACAGATTATGCCTGTTATGTGTTAAATGATGAACTTGTTATGATTTCTGTGATCCCACTCCTCAACTGATAAAACTGTATTAAACAATATATGCATGTAACTGTTGTTTGTTCAGTATCAATACCTACAGGACAGCTGTAGACAATAGAGTCTGTCTCACATGTAACTGTTGTTTGTTCAGTATCAATACCTACAGGACAGCTGTAGACAATAGAGTCTGTCTCACATGTAACTGTTGTTTGTTCAGTATCAATACCTACAGGACAGCTGTAAACAATAGAGTTTGGCTCACAAGTAGCTGTCCTATCACTTTTACATCCATCTAGTGGCTCTGGGATCAGGAAATGGTTCAAGATTTGTGCAGAACTTAATTAAAATAACTTGAGCAATGCCTGGACTAAGTGATTAAAGTTGATTAAAAATCTAATTTCAAGGTCAGATTTGTCAAAAGATTTTGTCAACCTTCTGTTATAGAACTATGTTCTGGAGTCTGTCTTTTTGTCAACCTTCTGTTATAGAACTATGTTCTGGAGTCTGTCTTTTTGGCAAAACATCTTTCTCTGACTGGTTTAAAAGTGTATTGACCCAAATGATACCAAAAACCGTCATTGAAACATATTTTTAGGAGCTAGATAGATCTGGGGACATGTTTGTTCATGCACACTAATTATAACACTGACCAAGAAAGCAACATCAATTAAAGGGCTGCTGTGGCCGAGTAGTTACCACTAGCCCTCCACCAGTGGGTCAGGGCTTCGAGGCCTACGTGGGGCAGTCGCCAGGTACTGTACCTTGCCACTGGGTTGCATGTTCGAGGCTTACTTGGGGGAGTCGTCGGGTACTGGCCGCAGGTCTGGGGTTTTTCCTAGGAAACTCCATCTTTAAGACATAACCCCTCCCCCCCAAAAAAATAAAAAATAAATCTGTAGGTCCATCTCTATTTCATAAAGGAATAAACTCTGTGCAACTGATTAAACTGTAATGTGGTTAACAAAATGAAGAGCTAGATGTGCATGTCCAGTTGTGATATATACAGTGTAAGGGAGACAATCTCTTATCTACGATCTGTATAAGTGAAATAAAAACAAAACCTGTTGGTAGCCTCAAGATGTTTATTAAAAACATTAAAATAACCAATACTTCCACCTTTTCTTTAAAAAACCTGTACAATATTACAATCCTTTCCCACAAGTCTTTGATTCTCCCTCCGTCACAAGTAATTCTGAGTATAAAAAATTATCACAAGTAGCCCTCTACCATCCCATCATGCAACATAGAAAACAAAGCATTCCTCTTTCTTTAGGAAAGAACTTTTTGAGAAATTCTCAAAATGTTACATAAAATGCGTTTCTTGATCAGATGAACTTTTTTCCATCGGACATCATTAACAGATAAAAATAAAAGCTTTAAGAACTAAACGATTCCTTTTGTAATCTTGAAAATAACTTTTTTCAGTTATGTAAACTAAAATGTCAAAGTGAAATGATTTACTGTATATAATGTGTTTTGCAGGTATAAATATATAATGTATGTCATTTTTAACATGTTGGTCCCCAATACAAAGTATACCTATCCAGCAGGTTAACACAGACTGTTAATTTTACAACAGTAATTAAAAACTGATTCTCCGGGAAATATTTCAGAAGTATTGTTACATACTGCGTACAGTTGTAGGGGTTTATTTTTGTTTTACAGTTGTACTAGCCTCCCTCTCCTGACGAGTACATACGGAGTGAAGAACCCAAGAGTTATAAAGGCTTTGCTGACTGACAATTGGTGTAATTACCAGGAATATTTCGCCAAAACTTTATAACCAAATGACTTGACAGTGTGATCCAAAAACACTTGTAAGAATACAATACAGTAGTGTCCAGAAATAGAATTCCATTGCATGAAAAAGGTGTGTCCTATGTGCTAAAGCCACCTACATAGTAAAAGGTGACATGTTTTAATTATCAAGATAAATCTTCATTTCATCATTTCTGTGGTTCAATTTTGATGCCATAAGAAATGTCATTTTCATTGATATTTTCGACATACAAGACCCAATGATGTCCCCCAAATATACGTAGCAAAATAAATATATAGAATATTGTTTAAACAATTCAATTTTCATTCACAGCTGGCAAATAGCTGTGTAGAAAGAAATAAAAGATATAAAATCAGTACTGTATGAAGTGTACAGATATAAGTTATGTTATGTAGTCTAGTATGACACTATTAAAGTTTTGATTATTTCCTATGGAAATATTAGTAAATGTAGGTCCTTCTTCAAATTGTGTTACACGGCAAGCGTTACGTAGTTAATGTCTTTGTTGATGTGAGACCGGCCACTGATCACTGAACGGCTTGGTAAGCCTGGTGTAACGCTGCTGGCGGGTCAGTCGACGTGTACAGTAGTTCCAGTGGTCAGTGTAGGGGTCAGTCCTCATTGGTGATGTGTCCCATGTGCCTTCAACATGTGCTCAGCAAACCTGACAGAAGGGAAAGAGAGGGTATATTTTGGAGGACACTGATGCACACTACCGTACAGGATAGAAATCGAGGCCAAATGGCAACAACTAAAAATATCCAACATTACATTTAGATTTTACTCAATGTGAATCAAAATGCCCATTGGACATGTAGTGCTACAAGTACCAAAGTCCCACTGCATTCCTGTAATGTGACTTTGGTGACTTTAATGGTTGTGTAACATACTTCTCATGACAGTCAGCCGCCATGTCTCTCTTACAGGACTCGGTGTGGGCCACCTTGTACAGCACCTGTAACAGTTCACAGTAAAACGTATACAGCATCAGGGGCTACAGGAACTAAACAGCACGGGTAACAGGGACACATTACTATTAGAGGTTACAGGGATATAATGACATCAGGGGTAACGGGGACACATTACTATTAGAGGTTACAGGGATCTAATTACATCAGGGGTAACAGGGACACATTACTATAGAGGTTACAGGGATATAATTACATCTGGGGTTACAGGGATGCATTACTATTAGAGGTTACAGGGATATATCTACATCAGGGGTAACAGGGACACATTACTATTAGAGGTTACAGGGATATATCTACATCAGGGGTTACAGGGACACATTACTATTAGAGGTTACAGTGATATATCTACATCAGGGGTTACGGGGACACATTACTATTAGAGGCTACAGGGATATAATTACATCAGGGGTTATAGGGACACATTACTATTAGAGGCTACAGGGATATAATTACATCAGGGTTAACAGGGACACATTACTATTAGAGGCTACAGGGATATAATTACATCAGGAGTAACGGGGACACATTACTATTAGAGGTTACAGGGATATATCTACATCAGGGGTTACAGGGACACATTACTATTAGAGGTAACAGGGATATACTTACATCAGGGGTAACAGGGACACATTTCTATTAGAGGTTACAGGGATATAATAACATCAGGGGTTACAGGGACACATTACTATTAGAGGCGACAGGGATATAATTACATCAGGGATAACAGGGACACATTACTATTAGAGGCTACAGGGATATAATTACATCAGGAGTAACGGGGACACATTACTATTAGAGGTTACAGGGATATATCTACATCAGGGGTCACAGGGACACATTACTATTAGAGGTAACAGGGATATACTTACATCAGGGGTAACAGGGACACATTTCTATTAGAGGTTACAGGGATATAATTTCATCAGGGGTAACAGGGACACATTACCATTAGAGGTTACAGGGATATAATAACATCAGGGGTTACAGGGACACATTACTATTAGAGGTTACAGGGATATAATTACATCAGGGGTTACAGGGATACAATTACATCGGGGGTAACAGGAACTAAACAGCTATACAGCAGAAGTAACAGGGACATGATTACATCAAAGGTTACAGGGATACACTTACATCAGGGAGGCACTTTACAGCAGAAGTAACAGGGACACGATTACATTAGAATTTACAGGAATACCATTACATGGGGGTTACAGGAACTAAACAGCTGTACAGCAGAAGTAACTGGGACAAAATTACATCAGAAGTTACAGGGACACAATTACGTCAGAATTTACAGGGACATATTTACTTGTATGTATACAACATAGATTTACAGGATCATACGATACATGTGATAATCATGGTGTCACCTACTTGTTGGACACAGTATTTGGGGTGTTGGGGTGTTGGAGTGTTTCTGGTTTTCTTTACTGGTGGTAGGAATGTCACAGAACTACACCAGCAGGTGCATTGCCACAAACCTTAACTATAATTCAGCAAGAACCATTCTATAACCATACTAAGCTTTTGGTGGGAATTTGTACATTCATCCTTGTCTATAACTTCTATGTGACCTTGACTATATCCTCTACCTGACCTTGACCTGTACTTACCAGGAAGACGAGACTATGTAGGAGGATGGTGTAGAAGAATGTCACTGTGCGGGCTGTCTTGTTGCCCATGATGAACCGACCCTGAAACATACAAAAATTGAAACTGTCGGCTCCTAAATATATTAAGCTGGTCCTCTGACTATTTTTGATACAAATTTGTCGAAGAATCAAGCCACTATTGCAGAGGATAAGGGTAGCTG